CAACTATTCAGGGAGCTTAAACAGAGGTGCTCACATTGTTGTAATTTTGATTTATCAAGAAACCTGTAGAAAAAATGTTGGCCAAAATGCAAAACCCAAAGTTACATGTTGACCCAGACTAGAGAAATAAAACATTGCCCTTGTAACCATCATTTTCAGAAGAGCTCCAGAGCAGACAGAAAAAATCAGGGGCATCAAATTTTTGTAATGTGTAGGATCACTCAATACTTCAGAAAACACCATAAAGGGAAAAAAGCAAGAATGTCTATCTAAAGAAACCATTCCCTAATAAATCTCCTTAAATGATTTTAGGGAATAAAAATGCCAACAAGAAACTAAATAAAAGGATTTCCTGCATTGACTTTCAAAAGCCTTTGACAAGCTATCTTACCAAATTTAGTCATGAAGGACTCAGTATACTGCTGTCTCCTGTAAAAGGAACTGGCTCACAAGACAGAAACACCATGCCAGAAAAGAGGCACATATCCCCGGGCTCAAGCCTGGGATCATAAACGGTTGAAAGAGGAGGTACCCAGTGAAATCTCTACATCAGGGATGATATTTAGCTCCTCTGAGTAAAGAAATTACCAAGTTACGAATGAGAAAAAACACTAAAAAAAGTAAGTTTGAATGACAGAGCAAGAAATGGCAAATGTATTATAATTCAAGGGATTTTACTTCAGAAAACAAATCAAAATTTGACATTTATAATAATGCAAATAGATGTAAATTATGACTTTCAAGTTATCTGGCATAAACCAAGGAAAAGGCTGATCGTGTAGGAAAAGGAGTCACAGAAATTATAGTTATCATCTGTTATGTAGCTGGAGCTCAGTGGCTGGCATGTATAGAAGTTGGGTTATAATATAATTAATAACCATCTCTTGTTGCCTACTTTGTGCCTGACACTGTGCTGTGCAACTTCCTTTGCAGTGTATCTACTTCTCACAGCAACACTGTGATTTAGACACCAGTATCTCCGTTCAGATGTAATAAGACTGAGGACCAGGAAAATGGAGTACATCACCCAAAGGTAATGGGCTGGTAAGTGGCGGAATCAGAACTTGACTCTACGGATATCTTCTTCCATAATCTGTATGGTCTTTGGAAGACAATAGAAACCCTAAGAGAATATAAGTGGAAAGACAGAAAAAGAGAGAGAGGGTGGGAGAGAGATGATGATAGATAGATAGATAGATAGATAGATAGATAGATAGATAGATAGATAGATAGATAGATAGATAGAAAGACAGGTAGGTAAATAGGAGACAGATTTATCTACATCTATGTCTACTTAACTCCCCATGAGTTTCCTAAATCAGAATACAATGTCACCTCTGCTTCCTGCACCCCAGAAAGACAGAAAAGGTACCAGAAAAGTGACAGAAAGAATACAATCAAGAGATGAGGAGATTTTTCATGGTGGAAAGATGAATCCTCAGATGAAATATGACCCAAGACTTTAAGTCACAAAGGATGAGATAAAAGACAAGAATTCTTTTCAGTCTTTTTATGCACCCACTGTCTGTGGGGTTCTGTGCTATTTCTTACATGTTACCTCATGGGATCCTCACAAAGTTCCTCCTTTGTTACCCCATTTACCAGTGAGGAGGCGAGGCTTTGAAAGTGTTAATTAACTTGTCCCCACTCCAAATCAAGCATCCAGTGAATAATAAGGCAAAAATTTACACTATAAGAACCCTGTCTACTTCACTGAGCATTAAGGAAAAGAGAGACTATCTTTCTGAATGTATAGTGTGTGTTTTTCCTAAACAGAAGCACTGGATAAAAACAGATTCCAGAACAACTTGTATAAATCCACAGACTAGAGGCTCCTGACAGGTTATTAAGTCATATCAGGGACATTCAGGCATATTTATAATCTTTTAAAACTAGAATTATCTGATTTTTCTGTGATCTCTCCTTTGATGTTTTTGTAAACAATAAAACTAGATCAATAGGCTAAGGTCTACTCTGGTAGACAATTCTGGCAGAAATAAAACCATCAACCAAGAGCTGTGAGACCTGGGCCCTTTACCAACTCTGCAGCCAACAGACAGCAGTGAGGACCCAGGCTGGTTATGTGACCTCTCAGGGCCTCACTTCCTACATAGCATGAGGATCTGGACTGTTTAATCTCTGAGCTCCATTCCAGTTCAGCATTCTATAGAATCCTCTAGACCTGGAGGGGCTGACCTGCCTCTTGAATCTCTCATTCCACAACCTCTTTTTAGAAGTACTTTGACTGACTATTAAAATGACCAGTTAAAACAACATTGTTACAGATAATTTCAATTATTCTGTACAATGAAAATCAAATCCCAGATCTGCAGCCCCAGCCCAGTTAGGCTCCCAGCCACATCCAGATTGTCCTGGGCCACCAGCCAGCCATTTCATTACCCTTTGGGTGCTCCACGGAGCCCCACACTATTAGCACAGCAGCTCTGTCGGAACAATAACAAACAGCAGCAATGAGTATCAAAGCTAAGGAGAAATTATGTTTAGGTTTGCTATTAGATCATCTTCATCACCGCTCACATCCACATGTCCCCAAGAGAACGTCAGCAAAGGGGAACTGAGGCAGAATGCCAAGGAGAGTACAGGTAATTCCTGGGCAAGGGAAGGTGGGAGATGCGGGAAGCTGGATAGGGTGTGTCCCACATGAGGAGGACTTTTTAAGAGAGGCGTAAGGAAGGAAGGCTGTGTGGGGCTAAGATCGTGGACTCTCAGGGCCTAGGTTGCTTGGGTGTAAAGCCTGGCTTTACCACTAACTAGCTACATGACATATTTAATTCCTTTAGGCTTCAATGTCCTCATCTATAAGATGGATATAGGGGTCCACGTACCTCATCAAATGTGAGTTAAATGTGCAAAGTCCTTATGAGCATTTGCCTGCCAACTTCTCTTTAGGAAGGATGACTGTTGGTGTTATTAGCCACTGGAAGAGCACAACTCTCTGCCTTCTCCCCCGCTGGCAGGGAGGTGGCTCAGGCAGGCCTTGCAACATTCTTTTTTCCCCTGCAGCTTCTCCCACTGCGGTGGAGCCAGTTTTTGAAGAGACCAAATTCAAGTTGTGCAAGTGTCTGGTTCTCCCTTTCCTTCCCAGAGAAAAGATATTTCTGACAAACACTCCTAGAGTGTGGGACAAATTCTCCTAAACACTCTGAACAAAGTAGAAAGACTCCTGAGTCTCCTTTTGATTGAACTGACCTATCTGGCCTGCTTTATAGGACCTTGTTTGTAAAACATGATACACCTTGAACTATGGTTATGGGTGCCACCACCCAACCTTTCTGGTCATCTGCATTTCTGTGCAGTATGAACACGAAGGAGAAAGAACTGCGGTGTCTCTGCCTCCCTGTCCCTAAAGAGATGAGAAGGCAGAAGTAAAGAAAAGGCAAGCCAAGGCAGCGGGAAGAGAGCTGCCCTGGGTCCTTCTGTTTTGTCCTGCCTGGACCTCCAGGGAAGCCAGGCGTCCGGTTCACACCTAAGCTACACCTGGCAAGGAAGAGGTGCTCAACACAGGTTTGTCCAATGCACTCAAAAGAATGAATACTGGCCAAAAACAAAACCAAAAAAAAGTAAGGGTTCTCAAACAGATAGGAAGTGGTAACACCTCCTTCCACCCACCCGAAACCCTCCAGACTTCTCCTCCACAAGACGGTGGACTTGTATTTGAAGGTGCTTCATTCACATGACAAGAAAGAGAATAGGCAATAGTGGTAAAATAAATCCTCAGGAGTCTCCTTCCAAAAAGGAGCATTCAACAGCAAAACCAAGCTCTTCCAATTCCTACCAGTTCTTCTACCCAATTTACCTGCTGCCCTTTACCCAGCTTTATTGCTGTTACACTCTGTGCTATAACAATATGCACAAATTCCAACACCGATTATCAACAGTGACTCAAAGAATCAATAAGAGGAAATAGCAATTGAGTTACAATTAAAGTTAATTTACATAAGCGATAAATAAAAGAGATATCATTAATAACGACTGGAAAAAATCAAACATCCTTCTCTAGTTTGCATTTCTTACCAATTCATGTTCCTTCCCACACCCCGCCACAGAGGTGTGTGACAACTGCAGCCGAACTGCATGCTATCAATGTTTTCCAAATGTTGCCTGAAAATGAATCACTAGATAATGCTTAGAAAGAAGGTGTATTCAGTTGGCAAATTTGGAATGCACTGCGAACTCTGAAAGGCAAGTTAGAACAGATACACATCACTTTTCCTCATGTTGACAGAGTATTCATAAAAATGTTAGGGAGGTATTGTTCCTGATGTACCCAGTGAGGCCCTCCCATTCACCAGCCCCTACTGCCTTCAGTGTCTGCCTCCCCACCTGGCAGAGACCTAGGTGTCTATTTAAGGCTAAATAAAAACAGATCGACTGACTGATGTCAGTGACCTTTTTTATGACTACATAAGGAGCCACGGGAAGTTCTGGATTCAGCGTCAGAAACCCAGATTCTTTTCTTAACTTTCTGTGAGCAGTTAAGCCTTCAGACACACACACCAGCTTTATTTTCCTCTTTAAAATAATGAAGTTGTGTCTGAGATGATCACTAAGGTCCTTATCTGCTTCTGTCTTTGTGATTCTGTGACACACCACAGAAAGGCAACTCAGCAGTGACAGAGGAGGGCAGGGAGGAAGAAAGAGAAGCAGGACCTGCAGACGCACTTCCCGCCTTGGGGAGTTCAGGCTGAGATGGACAACACTCATTGCTACATAGGATCGCAGAACAGTAACTGGAGTCAAAGGCAGGGAATTCTTTGTAAGTAGTCAGGAGTGAGGCGCTGTACAGAAAGGGCCTAAAAACAGGCTTGGTTGAAAAGAGCATGTTGGGAAAGCAACAGGCGAGGAGGCAGGAATAACTGCACCACTTTTCTGCACAAGTGGTAAGCGCTGTCCCCTGTCTACAGCCACTACTCCTTCCCCCTGCCCCACAAGCTCTCCCTTCCCGTTTCTTTCCCACAGGCGTCTCTGGTGGCCGGCACATGGCCAGCCCCAGCAATGCCACGGAGCCCTGCGGCTTTCTCCTTCAGGGCTTCTCTGAGTTCCCACAGCTGAGGCCTGTGCTCTTCTTGCTTTTGCTGGCCGTGCATCTGGCCACGCTCAGTGGAAACCTGCTCATTCTAGTGGCCGTGGCCTCAGTGCCCAGCCGGCCACCGATGCTGCTCTTCCTGTGCCAGCTGTCAGCCATCGAGCTCTGCTACACGCTGGTGGTGGTACCCCGCGCCCTGGCCGACCTGGCCGCACCTGGCCTCGGCAGTGGCAGCCCCATCTCCTTCCTGGCCTGCGCGGTTCAGATGCAGATGTTCGTGGGACTGGGGGGCGCCGAGTGCTTCCTACTGGCCGCCATGGCCTATGACCGCTACGTGGCCATCTGCCACCCGCTGCATTACGCAGCCGTGCTGACCCCTCGGGTGTGCGCGTGACTGGCCCTGGCCTGCTGCCTCGGGGGGCTGGCGGTGTCGGTGGGGCTCACGCTGGCCGTCTTCCACCTGCCTTTCTGTGGCTCCCGCCTGCTGGTGCACTTCTTCTGCGACATCACGGCGCTGCTGCACCGGGCCTGCACGCGGAGCTACGCCGACGAGCTGCCCCTGCTGGGCGCCTGCTTCGTGCTGCTGCTGCTGCCCTCGCTGCTCATTCTAGCCTCCTACGGCGCCATCGCCACCGCCCTGCACCGCCTGCGCTGCCCCGGGGGCCGGCACAAGGCCACCTCCACCTGCGCCTCGCACCTGGCCGTCACCCTGCTACACTATGGCTGTGCCACCTTCATGTACGTGCGGCCCAAGGCCAGCTACTCCCCGCGGCAGGACCGCATGCTGGCGCTCGTCTACACCAACGTCACGCCGCTGCTCTACCCGCTCATTTACAGCCTGCGCAACCGCGAGATCGCCACCGCCATCCGCCGGATGCTGGGGCAGAGGCGGCCTGGCCACGCCCCAGGTCAGGGTGTGTGTGAGCCCTGACAGCAGGCAGGCCGGAGTGGGGAGCCCCACACCCCTAAATTTTCCTCCCTCAGGTGGCGTCCACCTAGGGAACACCACCAACGGGGCTACTCAAGGACCGAATTCAGGAAAGAGAACCAGGAAAAATGTCTATACACAGGGCATCTCCCGGCAGTTGCCCCATCCTCCACTCCTCCCTGAAGGAACGGCCAAAATTAGCAGAGCCCCAGACTTGCATTTAGTGGTTCCCTAATTCCCCGTTGGTTCTCCCCATGTGCTGGGGCCTGTGCAAGGTGGTGGGCTTGCGTTGCTGAAGGCACAACTCACGACCTCCAGGAGCTCCCAGCCATAGCGAGCACCGCTGTGAAGCGTGACCCACAGGTGTGTGGGGTGGAGACAGTGCGGAGAGGGGGATAATGGGCACTTCCATTTTGAACATGCGAATTAAAATGCTGCCAGGACAAGCCAGAGAAGATACAGAATGAGGAGGTAAGCACAGCCATCTAGAGCACAGGAAGAGGTTCAAGAGGAAGGACAGATTTGGAATTATAGGTGGCCACTGAAACCATGGAACGGGGGATACTAAGAAAGATACAGTTGCTCCCTATGTGATGCGATTCTGGGTGATTTTTATTTTCTTGTTTGTGTATCTTCCAAATTTCCCCTAATCATTGTCAATGGAGATTACTCTTATATATAAACAATCACTATTTAAAACAAATTATATCAGAGCTCCCTCAGGGAATCAGACTTCTTAACCTCCATCCCCAAGATAAAGGCGTGAGTCCCACTTGCCTGAAACTATCTCCTTACCAACAGTTCTGGAGTAAAGTGGAGCTAGAGTGAGCTTCGTAGGGGTGGGTCCGGTACTGTGCCTTGTAGTACAAGAGTAGGAGGGCACTGAAGAGCTTCTAATCCTCCAGTAGCTGGGAGGAAATATTACTGTCAAGGATAAAGTGAGGAGACATTAAGAGGGAGAATTACTAATCCATGTTGCCTTGTAACACTAGAGAAAATAAATTCTCTTGATGTGACTATTTCTATACAATGTTACAAGCAGTATATCCTAGTATATTAAAGGAAACAAACTGGCACAAAATTTTAAGTACACACATTAGGTTACACTAGAAAAATGCCTGAATTTATTCATTCATCCATACGTGTAACAAAAGAATGTTATTGTGACAGTTGCATGCCAAGAACTAGACAGTTGAGGATTCACGGTAATCAAAATGCCATTATGTTTCTACCACCTCAAGCCAAATGATTAAAAGAATGAATCCGAAGCCCATGTGGAGTCCAAAGTCTCCTAGGAGACTCAGGTACATAAATAGGCATTACAATACTACTTACTAAGTACCGTGATGGGGAAAAGACAAGATCCTACAGGAAGTACATAGCCTAGACTTAGGGTGGCAGGAGCATCAGGGAAAGCGTAGGAAGAAGTCATGTGTAAGATCTAAAAGCAGATGGGTAGTTATAGCCAGACAGACATGGCTGAGAAAGGAGAGTCCAGACAGAGGGAGCAGCATGTGCAAATGCCCAAGGCAAAGGAGACTATTATACATTCCAGAACTTGTCCGTAGGACTGGCTCTTACTGGTGGTGATAGAATGGTGGGGTGTACTCTGTGCTGCTAGTATTAAGAGATTATGATAGAGGTGCGGATACGGGCCAAGGCATGCACACCCTGTCAGTCATATTAAAAAATTTGGATTTCACCCTAAAGAAGGAAGAGGAAAGCAAGAAAAAAAAAAGGAGAAGGAAGGGGAAGATGAGAGAAAGAAGAAGAAGAAGCCAACAAACCTGTTTAAGCAGGGGAGTGATATGAACCAGTTGGAACACGCTGACTACTATGCCAAGAATGAAATAGAGAATGACAAAAAGTATTAGGCAGCTAGTACAGAAAGACAGGTTAGAGATGATGTTGGCACATTTTAGGTAAGTGGTGTAGATATGACAGAACTTAATGCAAATTAATAAGGATAAAAGAGAAGTCAGGGATGATGCAAATTAACTGTCCTGGGGAGACAGGGTAGGCATGTGGGACAAGCATCATGATTAAATTTTTCTGCCTATGATGAAAAATGTCAAGATATAAACAGTATAGTTAGAACAGGGGGGACTCCATCTTAAGGCTAATTCTATTTTAAAAAGCAGGGACTTAGGAGGTAAGATTCCTAATGTATTTTATGGTAATCAGACAATACCTGACACTCACTTAAGGCAGGGCAAGTAGTCCTGAATAATAAGTCCCCAATGCTTAAGGAAAACCACTATCTTGGAGAAGAACAGGATCAATAAATTCCTTGTGTTAAGTTTATCTTGTAGAATATCTAGAGAATTGACCATGGATAGTGACATAATGTCTCTCACCAGATAGAGATATCATAAGACCACATGTCAAGCCTATACCCCCTCCCCTCCATGCTTTACCCCATTCTTGAAAGCCTCAGAAGAAAGAATCCTAAGCCACTGAGTGCACCTCCTCTCTGAGGTTGCCCACACTCCCCTTTCTTTGAGTGTGTACTTTTTGCCTTAAATAAAGCCTCCTCACTGCTTAACTTACTGAGCATTGTCTCTGTGCTCTTCCAGTGGTATCTCTTTACTTTGCTATTTCATTCAATTTTCTAGACTTAAGCACAAGTCTTCTCCCTCTCTGTTCTACTTCAGACAAGTAGGGAAGGGCTACTGAGATCTGTGATTTGGGCTTGCAAGTTCCCATCACCTTGGTAACCTGGATAAGACTGCAGCTGTACGATCATACTCTTTAGTAGCCTGCCTGAAAATCTCTTTTCTTGCCTTTGGGAAGTTCTCAGAACACAATCTCACTCCATCCAGTGCTCTGTGGCTTCCCCAAATCCTGGGGTGGTAGGGGCATAGTTCCCATACCATGCAGATTAAGGCAGACACTGGATGCCAGGTGACCCTGGTTTTAGGAGTTGGCACGGTATGCCAAGCAGAAGTTCAGTGAGCTTCCCTTTCCTCCCTGTGCTCTTCTTTACCCTCTGCTGCCTGCACACCTGCTGACATTCGCAGCTACTCTCACTTTAATGAACTCCTTCCTTACCTACACTCGTCCAACCCGTTTGAGAATTCTTTCTCAGTCAGAGTCAAGAACCCTCCCCCATCCAGGCTGCGATTTCACCTAGTGCGCAGGGAGAGCCCTCCCCAGACGCAGCTGCCCAACAACACTGGTGAAGATGACAGATGGGCTCACTGACATGGGAACGAAGGACAGAAGTGGGAAGAGACCTTCATCTTTCACTGAATATTTTCTTCACGTCCATATATGCACTACTTATTCAATAAATGCTTTCAAAATAGAAATAAAGGCTAGGCAAAGGAAAAGGAACATACAGAGGTTTTTTTTTAAAGAACAATCAGAAAAGAAGAAGAAAATACAAGATAGCATGACTTCATGGAAACCAAGGAAAGAGAATTTCAAGGATGGAGTGGTTAACAGTGTCAAATGATGCTTTTTCTCTAATGATATGACAGTGGGGCCAGAGATGACCTTAGAGGTTTCTACTCCAGAGCAGAGAACACCAAATTCACCTATACAAACCTCAGCAAAGCCTGTGCAAGGGCCTGGCAGCCAAAAAAAGCCCACATCCAGAAATGCTATCTAGCTAGAGCTCATGCAATGGCTGCCAGGCCCCAGCCAATCCTGAAAACATGTGGAAAAACAACTCAACTCATGTTTAATCACCACTGGAGTGGGAAGTAACATTGACTTTCATGCTGAAATCTTTAACACTGTTTCAAGATTTGTACCTGAGATTTGTTTTAGTCAGGTATGGTAAGGTGATAGACACAGACACAACTGCCTTAGAAACTTGTTAATTCCCAGGAGAAAAGGACATGCCACACCAGAAGGGCCCCATGGGAAACCACTAGCACCAGGTCAGTCAGCAGGCAGAAGGAGAGACGATAGAGCATGGCCTTGAGCCTCTATTGTGGTTTCTGTGGGAAAAAATGCACAAGGCAGAGTGGGAAAGCTTGAGTTCAGGATGGGATAGTTTGGATAATTTTGGGGTGCTCTGAGCTATGGGAGGGCTCCCGAGCTGTCTGGTCTAGCTGACCTCGCTCTGGAGTGACAGGGCAGGGAAGATGTTGGCTTGGTGCAGGAAGAGTTAGATAAAGGAGGTGAATGGGGATACCCTGTGGAGTGGCTGGTTTGCATAAGAAAGGCACACCCACAGGAAGTAGTTTGCTATCTCTAGAAATTCCATAGCTCTGGGAGGGGCAGCCTATCTCCAGACATCAAAGCCCTCAAGATATCAACACCTCTTTAAGTATAGAAAATTTAAAAATTGATTAATATGAACACAGACTCTAAAAATGTAAGACAGTGTGTGTAACCTCTCAAATACAAATTTGCGAGTTCTTAGGACTGCTCAAGAAGGTCTCACAGCTCTGTCTCAGTGCTGCTGGAATTTCATCAGAGCCAATCAGCCAGAAGTCATCCTCCGCCCAGAAATACGTCAATTTCAGTGGGTCCCTCACTTGGGTGCACACTGGAATCACCTGAAGACCTTCAAAAATACTGAAATCTGGGCCCCATCACTCAAGATTCTGACTTAGTCTTGGTGAAGGTAGGCATTAGAATTTTTTAAACCTGCCCTTAGGTGATTCTGAGTTTCATCCACGGTTGAGAACCGCTACCCTCATCACTGCCTCTAGCCCTTTGTTGTGGAAAAGGTTGCCCTCTCCTCCCGCTTAAATATCATCCTTCTGCTTAGGTTCCAGATCTCAAATTCACCCACTCCTCAGACAGCTCATATGTTACTTAGTGCTACTGTCTCCCACGCTTTGAACTCGAGCATATAAACATCTTTGAAGTTAGAAAAGTTTCCATTACTCTGCACAGGTCCTCTTCCTTGAAGTGGCATGTTCCAGCACGGGGGAGGTTCCAGCACGGGGGAGGTTCCAACACGGGGGAGGTGGCTGGTTTATAAAGAAGAGCCATCCCCAGTCAGGGAATACGTCCCCGGGCTGGTGGGTAATGGGATAAGCAGG